CCTGTGGTACCCCACAAGTGAGGCGCCTCGAGGTTGACCTCTGCCCCCCTGCCAACACAAATTGCGTCCGGTCCGAGAGGTAGGAGGAGAACCACCGTAAAACGGTGCCCCCCAACCCCAACCCCCCTAACCGGTGCAACAAGATACCATGGTCGATGGTATCAAAAGCCGCTGAGAGGTCTAACAGGACCAGGATAGAAGAACAGCCCCTATCCCGAGCCCTCCAGAGATCATCAACCAACGCGACCAAAAATATCTATCAGATGATGTAAGGAAGAGATAATGTAAGGGAAATAATTTTCTTCTCAAAATCATGCCAAGTGAGGTAAGGTACTGATTCTGGTACCTACCCAGAGAGTACCTTTTTCCAAAGAAGATAAAAAAAATGCCAAAGAAAATTTGTTATATAAAAGTTGTGCATATTTTGCAGGACTGTTAACTTTCCTCAGTCTACTGTTTATGAGGTATCGCCCAAGGATCATGGCCTGTGAGCTTTATCATTGCATCCCTTCCACAAAGACTATGCCTTGAATTAGCATTCCAGAACATAATAACCCTATTATGTTACTTCATGCACTGATTACATCTGTGTAAAATTGGAGAAGCAGTAGTTTTTAAAGCTATTATTTCAGTAATCCAGTATATGATTTGACACTAAGTTACTTACGGACTGCTCTTCTTCATAGAGATGGTACTGTAGGAGATGACCAGGCTGAGCCAGAGGGAGGTGTCAAACACGTCATCAGTCATAAGTCCCTGCGTGCGCATAGGGACTTATGAATTCCTTTCTATTCTTAATGCCCGCGAATTTCCCTTGACCATTAGTAACTCAGATTCTTGTAGAGAGCTTAAGCTTGCAATAAATCTTTATGTTCATTTGAACTGCCTGAATCTCCTGATTTTCCGGTGCTTGACAAGTACTCCCTATTCATATATTGCAGATCTACCAATATCTTTTAATGGTCCTCTGTGGGAGCAGCTGAGCTGAATAGGACTGGAGTTTTCAAGCAATGTTTGTAGTAGTCTCCATATGATGGAACATGCTTCCCTTCGAGATTAAATTGGCACCCTTGATTATAGCAATAGCATTTAGACTTATATACTGTCCCACTCTCTGGGCAGTTTACAACGTCAGCATATTGCCCCCAACAATCTGGGTCCTCATTTTACCAACCTCAGAAGGATGGAAGGATGAGGCAACCTTGAACTGGACAGAGTCAAATTCCTGGCAGTGGGCAGAATCAGCCTGCAATACTGCATTCTACCCACCGCACCACTGTGGCTCCAGTTGTTGGTTCTGGAAATTGTAGAAAACGGTCAACATTATACTTGCTACTTTATATTAGTGGTTATATGTTAACTCTAGAAACTGTTAGAATTGCTAAATCTGATGACATGTAAGCCATTACTTATTATATTACAACATGTCTAGTATAAATAGTCCTTTGGCTTGTATCAGGCATAACACATTTCTTTTCTTTCAAGTTTATAGTTATTTTATACAGAAGATATTGAAGTTGTTGTGATTAAAATGTCTTTTTGTCACCTCTAGGTTTGTATGCAGCTTGGTTTATTATGGTCTTACTCTCAACGTGGGTGATCTGGGTGGCAGTATCTATGTTAATTTGGCTCTTTCTGGTCTAATAGAGATTCCTGCATATCCACTCTGTGTCTATATGATAAACCAGAAATGGTGAGTTTTGAATAGATGTTACATATATGTCAGATTATGCAGGCATTTGCTTTAGGACAGATCAAGAACATGAATCCATGGGATCATATGTAAGCATCTCTATACATTCAGTTTATGCATTTAGCATGAAAGACAGATTTTTATTTATAATGAGATGGGCCAAGTACATTCCACTGACTGTACTTCCCCTCTATCCCTTTTGGGAGACCCCCTGAGATTGTACCAACTGAAGATTCCATCACCAAATGGTGGCATGGCTTTCCTTTTTGAAAAGAAATGAGCAGGAAAATACACATTCTCCAGTTCAGTATAGGTAGTCCTCAACTTACGACTGTAGTTGGGCCCAAAATTTCTGTAAGATAGTTATTAAGTGAGTTTGTTGTTAAGTGGCTTCCCCATTGACTTTGCTTGTCAAAAGGTTGCAAAAGGTGATGGTATGACACTGGGACATTGCAACTGTCATAAATATGAGCCAATTGCCAAGTGTCCGAATTTTGATCATATGACTATGGGGATGCTGTAATGCTTGTAAGTGTGAAAAATGGTCATAAGTCACTTTTTCAGTGCTGTTGTAATTTTGAACAATCACTAAATGAATGGTTGTAAGTCAAGGACTACCTGTATGTGCTTGTGTATGAATATATGCACATGCTTATCAAAAAAATAAAAATCTTGAATAGTTCAAAATTCTAGACCCATATTTTCTAGTAATCTCACTTCATCATTTCATTGTACTTTGTAACTTTTGGCAACGGGAATAAAAGGACGGGGAAAATTAATGAACTAATATTCCAGTTTTAAAGACTAATCAATGCAAAAGACTATAAAAGAGTTCCTATCCTATTTTAATGATATTTCTGTACACGGTAAAATAGAAAGGTGTGTAAAATACATTTTATTTTACAAGAAAATGAAGCATCATTGTGAGAACTGCAAATGCATTATTATCTGGAACATTTCTGCAATTCACTGTGGTGATTGGTAGAAATCAGCACAGGTATGCCAAGAGCAATAGGTCCTCAAACTCCTCATCTCATGGCATCATGATATAATAGTGCCTTAGACAGCATGGTGTAACATGTCTGGCTGAAAGACAGTAAAATATAAAAGATCCAGCAGGATTACAGTCACATGGATGTACAGTTGGTGTGGAATTCTGATTATATTACCTCATTTTAGAAGAATATCTGAGTTGCTAACTGAAACTTAAGTTAGTAAAATGTACTAATTTATGAACAATTTTATTAGTTTATCAGTATTATTCTGAATTTTGGTTTTTATGAAGAATATTAAACTTTAAATTTCAGCTATTTTTGAGGTGCATCTCATTCATGTTTTGGTCTTGTTTTGAGAACAACTGCTATTTGAAAAACAAGAGAAAGATACTACATGAATATATACCACTAGACCTTCTTAGAGCTATAGCTGCCTAGGGCAGTGATGGCGAACCTTTTAGAGACCGAGTGCCCAAACTGCAACCCAAAACCCACTTATGCATCATCGGGTGCCGGGTGGGTGTGGCCCATTGGCTGGGTGTGGCCCATTGGGTAGGCGCGGCTGCGATGGTAACTGGGTGGGACTAAAAAGTTCAATCAATCAATTCCAACTTTGCAAGATCTTTTTTTCCCCGCGAGAAGTTGAAATTGACTGATTGATTGAACCTTTTTTTTTTTTTGCACACGGCAGCGGAGGCCTAAAGCAAAAAGGTTTTATAAAACCCAGCTGAAGGCCTAGGACTGGGGCGACGGCGCGCGTGCCCACAGAGAGGGCTCTGAGTGCCGCCTCTGGCACCCGTGCCATAGGTTCGCTACCACTGGCCTAGGGTATATATTTATGAGAGTTACTACTGTGTAGTAGTTAAGATGTTGGAACAGGAGCAAGGCCATCACTCTCAGCCACAGAAGCTTGCCAAATGGCTTTGGGCCAGTCATTCTCACTGGGTTCTTCTGGAGCAATAGGAGGTGGCAACACTCTATATACCACTTTAGTTGTACAAACTAAAGATGGGATAAGTAAAGATGAGATAGATATTAAATGTACACCATCCAGAGGTCCTTTTACAAAAAAAACAGGATATAAATCAAATACATTTGTTAATTTCTCCTCATGTTGCCTCCCCCCCCCCCCGCTTCTTTCTGATTATTAGGTTTGGCCGCAAACGGACACTTGCTGCATTTTTGTTTCTAGGGGGACTGGCCTCTCTTCTTGTCATGTTCCTTCCACAACAGAAAGGTAAAAAGATTTATTAATTATAGAAATTAGAGATAATCAAATGTGGAGCTGGTCCCAATATATACCTCTGTAAGAATGTTCTGGTTATCCCTGAACCATGAACCTCATAATAGCCTGGAAACATAGGACAGGCAGCATTCATGATTCCTTTTCTCCAGGAAAATACTTCCTAACCTTGCCAGAGTTGGGAGGCTGTCAGCTTAGACTAATCTAACAAGATGGACAGGTAGTCCTGGGTTTACGACGGGGACTACCAGGATGGCTGCTGTTATGCAATGAGGTTGTAAAGTGTGATGTCATGTGATTGCATTGCTTAATGATAACAATTCCATACTCCCCATTGCTGGGAAGATGTGGGAGTACCAGGTAAGGAGTATGGCGGAGGGATGGTTGGGGCTGTAGGTGTTGCATGGTTGATGCTTCTGGTTGGTGCTGATAAGAAGACACACAGGCCAGCAAGGGCAGCACATGGGCTCAGAGAAGTGTGGGGAGGCAAGGGGGTACACTGGAGTATGAGATCTTGTACTCTGTAGTGGGGCTTCTCTGGAGGAAAAGTGATGGAAGCAACTTATGGCAATGATTTGCTGCTTTCCCTGCCAACTTCCACATTGACTTTGCTTGGAAGTCATTTGGAAGGTTACAAATGGTGATCTCGTGGCCATAACCATTGCAAGTGCCCTTTGTTCAGTACTGTCATAAATTTGAATAGTTGATCATACGTCAAGGACAAGCTAATTCACTTTTTCTGATATTTTATGTTTATGTATATTATAAGCACAGAGCGCAATCGGAGCAGGCATCAGGGGGCTTCCCGTTTTCACACACAGAGCAGCGGCAGGGGATATGAAAACAGGAAGCCCGGGGTGCCCCTGCCACCCAACCTGGTGCACTCTGCCCACCCACTCACTTCCCTGCTTGCCAGACTCTCCCTCCAGCTGCTCACTACAAGTTGTCCCCGCAGTGAGTTAGTCATGTGGAGTTATCTTATGGTGCGTTGGCTGTGGTGAGCTGGCAGAGGTGAGCTGGCAGTGGTGAGGTGGCCATGGCGAGTTATCCCATTCCAATTCAAAAATAGCTTAACAAGCATACCATGATTTACATAATGCAGAATACCTGCCTCCTAGTACAATGTGCGACATGCCTCCAGATGTTAAATATTGTTGACAGATGTGTTAGGGGAGGATGTACATTTGCAGTGGGAGGGAGATTGTTGCATCATACAGCTGGGTAAAGGATACCACCTGCCTAATTTATTTGCTCTTTAAGCTCCTTCCCTCCTTCTCCTGTCGTTTTTCCAATCTGTAAATCAGCTGATGGTGCTCAGAAAAATGGCCAGTTATGGGTGGGAAGCAACTCTTTCAAAGCATCTAGATCAGGGATGTCAAACCACTGGCCTGCAGGCCAGTTGCATCATGCTGAGGCTGCGCCCACCCCAGCTCTGGCAATGCAAAAAAAGTCACAATATGTCACAACATGTCACGTGACACAGCGAGTTTGACACTCGTGATCTAGATATATGTGTCATGGTTCCGATAGATGAGACCAGTAAAAGCAGAACTCCCAGGCAAAAGATTTCCTTAAAGAACATCTTTATTTGGCTACATAGTATTGGCACAATCAAAAGTGAAACCAAGACTGAAGTTCCCTCCCAAAGGTTACAAAATTGCAAAGTTAAACTTCCCACCCCAGTAATATGTCATAAATCACATACACCAATTAACTACTTTAGCAGGCTGTCTAACCGAAGCTTTAGCCCACCAAAATGCAAGCAGCATTTTGTGGCTCCCACAGAACAATTTATTGTTTTGACTATGCTGAAAAATACTCATCCCCCCTTCCAACTCTGTGGCAACCAAAAACGAAGTGGAAATGGCTTCAGCCAAATTCGTTTGCAATGTTGACAACATGATCTTATGGAGCTGAGAGAGTTGAGGATTTGAAAGAACCCCCAGTTCTCCTGCCTCTTCTCCCACCCTGAGAACCAGCTAATACGTTTATATAACATCTGATTTACCCTACTGATTGCAGTACTAAACTCAAGAATTCGGATTTAAGGGGCTAATGCTCATGATGGTGACTCTTATGTGGCTTTTGGGAGCTTTGTGTGGTTCACTATTTGAATCTTACAAACTTCTGTTTCAGGAGTGCTTCTCTGCTTTCTGTAAGCTTGGCAGAATATAGTGAACCAGTTTTCTTAGGTTTCATTTACTTTGAATAATTTAGTGCATAGCCAAAACTTTTATTTTGTCTTTTGCTTTTGAATGGATATAAGGCTGTAATTAAAATGGCTGTCATTTTCATGTAGAAATAACAAAAGGGGGAGGCAGATGGGAGTGATAGTATTATTACTACAATCAGTTAAGCTTGTAAATGAAAACATGCTCTAATGATATCCAAATCTGAGTTTGTTTCTCAGAGTGAAAAACATTTGCTATTCCTATAATATAAAAAGACCATTTCCCCTTCTGATTACTGAAATTTGATCCTGCTATATGGGACCTCCATTGTTCCCTTGCAGCATGTATTTTAAAAACATGCTGTTATAAAAAAGTGGATTATTACAAAGTTTAAATATTATAAAACATTTTTCTTGATAAACATTTTTTTTAATAAGGTCATATGATTTTATTTAGTTCTGTCTGTCAGTAGTAGCCTACCACATAAATACTTTCTCAGCAGAGAGAGGGGACCTGTGGTGGGAGTACTTTGCGTAGAAACTGCCTGGAGAGATGAAGGGCAGTACCTACGTTCGATAGATAAATAAACCAATTTTGGGATAAAGAGAATTCTAAAAGTTATCCTTCTTTGCTCCAACAGCTGCAGGAGTATTTGTGATTGTGAATAGCCGTTCTTTGTCTTTACTTGGAAAACTGACTATCAGTTCAGCCTTTAACATTGTATATATCTACACATCAGAACTCTATCCTACCGTTATCAGGTAAGACAAGTTCAGTTTGTAGTGACTTAATGCAACTCTATGTCATCACTTATCCATTCTGTTTTTGTGGAGGTAGAACATCATTCTTAGATTCTCTCATTCAGCAGAAGGGCAGCAAATCAGCAAGATCAGAGTTCTTGCTCATTAGAATTTGAGCTCTGTCTAAAATATAATGTTTAACCGGTTGGACTAAAGGCAAGGAGAGCCAGGTTCAAATTTGACCTTAGTCAGAAAAGCTCATTGGCATTTTGTCAGTCATTCTCTCTTAAGCCTACCTATCTAGCAGAATTCTTGTGGAGAAAAATAGGAGGAAGTGGAATGCATGCTGCCTTGAGCTCCTGAATAAAATATGCAAACCTAAACTAAAAAGCCTTGTTTAGACAAAGCATGTAGATCATATAGAAAATGTTATCTTTAAAAACTGGATGTATAGCTTTTGTATTAATGTAGGGTTTTCAGAGTTGATATAAAAACACTTCAGTAGCTGTTTCACACTTGGTCCAAATGCAGGCAGAATGAAAATATTGAAACAAAACATAGTCAACATAAGAATGTCACTTTTATTCTGCTATACATTTAGCAGACAAAATAAGAGATTAGGGCTTTGCATGTTTCAGAAATGATTTGGAAGAAATGTTTTGGAACTTGCTTGAGTGCAAGTTCTTCTTGGCTGCAAATTAAAGCAACCACTTCTATGCAAGCCTAAAAGAAAATATGTGCCTGTTTTAATAAGGTTACCAATATATGCTATAATTAATGGCGGAATATTGTTATATACTCATGGGAATTCAAAAGCATTTCTTTTGAACATGGTCTATTTTTAAAATATTCATAGTCCTGTTGTATAATAAATATTTCAGCTAGTAGAAATATTAGTATTAGAGCATTTCCATTTGGCCAGTTTGTGGGATGAGCCCATCTAGAATTAAAAGGCTTTGAATGAAATATGCTACTGTATGGTCGGGCTCATTAATTTTGTTTTAAACATTTATTGTGCTTTGGTTTTTTGGGTTCTTTTTTAATATAACCATTTTTAACCATCTTGAGAATTGGGCAGCTCTATAAATCAAATAAAAAGGAATGTGTTGGTTTTGGAGGGACTTGAATTTAGAGGTGGATTGAATATCTCTTTAAAAAAAATTAATGTGGAAATAAAAGTTATTAATCAACTATAAAAATAGTGGAGAGAAAACAAAAAAGACAGTGAAATAGGTATATATAAAACAAAAAACTTTATGTTCTTAAACAGCAAATAAAATCTTTATCATATGCAGTGATACTAATGAGACCTTTCTTGCATTAATAAAAAACTAATTCATTTCTACAGAATAAATACGTCTTCAAACCAAGACTTTAAATCAGGTGTAACAGTCTCTCACCAAGCTAAGACAGTACCTTTAGCTATAGACCTTCATCTTTCTGAGACACCAATTTTTTGATACATAATTTGCCAGCATATGCACAGTTTAAAGTACTATTTTTCTTCCCAACTCCATATTAACAATTTGCTGAATAAACCAAAACAGTACAATTGTAGCCTAAAACATGGGACTTCATGTTCCCTCCATAAAGTCTCCAATAAATCTATTGTTGAATTAATTGCATTGTACAATGATAATATATTAATTTAACATTAATCAAAATTCTAGCTATTTAGTTTATTAAAACAAGATATTTTTGCTTTTTGTTTCAAGTTTCTTGCAGGTTTTCCATAACTATCTTTAATATGTACTGCTTTTCAGTTGTACCAAAAAATTAACTGTAAATTTGGGGATCTCCAAGATTTTATTCGATATTCTGACTAATTGTTGACATATCAGGCACAAACTGAGAAGTCAGAATATGTTTTAAATGGAATATGTTACTGTTCACTAGGTTTGGACAATTGAAATAGTTTTTGGTACAAAAAGAGTAATCATAGATAGTGTGTTAATTCCATTCTTTGTCCAAGAATACCAGAGGCAGGATCTATCAGCAATTTTCAGCCTGGCACTATTCCAAAATGTCACTTTCTCATGAAAATTAGGATCAAATTTAAGTTTCCTTATCATTTTCCAGATCTTAAAGCCTGGAAAAAAACTGCAGGAAAAAAATGACTTCTAACTAAAAAAGGAACTAAGTCCCCACCAAGTAGTTAAGTAACAATTTATTGTGCTAACAGTTCATGTTCATGAAGAAATAGAGGTCAAAATACAGTGAACCAGCTGGCAATGAGGAAATTTGAAACCTCTATCTGTAGAAAACTGAAAAATCTGACCATTTCATGAAATCTTTTTTAGTATCTAATAATCTGTTTAAAATATTTAGTAGGTATTAACTTAATCAGAGTGTATGAAGGCTAAATTGTAGTAACGTTGGGTCAAGGAATAAAATATATTTTCAGACTAGAAAAAAAATGCTTCTGGTTTTCAAGCTTGGTTGCTTATTTTTTTTATCTGAATTTATACAAGGCCAGAACAATCTTGCTTAGAATTAAATGTAAATAAAATTAAATACTCTTAAATACCCAGTACTCTTCAATAACTTCAAAATTACTTATATGAAGGAATAGAAGGGTAACTCATCCAATTTGCAGGTGACACTAAACTGGCAGGAATAGCCACCCAGAAGACAAGCTCAGGATCCAAAAAGATCTTGACAGAGTTGAACAATGGGCCCTATCCAACAACATGAAATTTAATATGGAAAAAAGCAAGATTTTACACTTAGGCAAGAAAAACCAAAGGTACAAGTACAGATTAGGTGAAACCTGGCTCAAAAACAGTCCTAGTAGAAGATCACTTAAATATGAGCTAGCAGTGTGCAGCGGCAGCCAAAAAAAGCTAATACAATCCTTGTTTGTATAAACAGAGTTATAGAATCAAAATCACATGATGTATTAGTATCACTTTATAAAACCTTAGTAAGACCACACCTGGAATACTGCATCCAGTTGTGGTCACCACATTACAAAAAAGATGTTGAGACTTTGGAAAAAGAGCAACTAAGATGATTAAAGGCCTGGAGACTAAAACATATTGAGAACAGTTGCAGGATTTGGGTTTGGCTAGTCTATAGAAAAGAAGGACTAGGGGTGATATGATAGCAGCATTCCAGTATTTGAGGGGCTACCAGAAAGAAGAGGGGGTCAACTTATTCTCCAAAGCACCAGAGGGCAGGACAAGAAACAATGGATGGAAACTAATCAAGGAGAGACGCAACCTGGAACTAAGGAGAAACTTCCTAACAGTGAGGACAATTAACCATTGGAATAGCTTGCCTTCAGAAGTCATGGGTGCTTCATTACTGGAGGTTTTTAAGAAAAAACTGGACAGCCACTTGTCTGAAATGATGTAGGGCAGAGGTCACCAACCTTTCTCGGTTGGCGGACCGGAGGGAAAGGGAGGGGGAGGCATTTTACACGCGTGCGCACGAACAGGGCCACGAGGACACACATGACACAAACGGGGCGGGGCTAGCGCTTGTGTGATACTCGCTAGCCCTGCCCTGTTCTTGCGTGGCACAGCACCCCATTTCTGTGCCCCGCAGTGCAGCGGCATCCCATTTTTGTGCCCCAAGGCGTGGCAACATCACATTTTCGCACCCCACAGTGCGGCGGTGTCTCATTTTCGCATCCTACGGTGTGGTGCTACCACAAGTGTGTGTGTGTGTGCGTGCGCACATGTGCATGCACTGGCCAGCCTGTCCCATGGCCCTGTAGCCAGCAGGCCACGACCCACTACTGGGCCGCGGCCCACAGATTGGGGACCCCTGGTGTAGGGTTTCCTCGAGCAGGGGGTTGGACTAGAAGACCTCCAAGGTCCCTTCCAGTTCTATTCTGAATTGAATTGAAATGTTGTTGACATTATTGCTGGTTGAATATTTTTTTCCCTTTCTCTCAATGGCTTTCAAAGCTTTGTGCAGCTCTGGGATTTCCAATGGTACAATTATCATAAATATTTAAAATAAATATTTTAATTATAATTAAAATATATAATTTTAAAATATAACAAATTATATTATAATTATTTTAAACTTCTAACAATTCTTAGATCTCTTGGAGTTTAGAAGTATAACTCCAATCCTAATTTGGAAGAGACTTTCACATGAATATCATTGTGTTTTACTTCCCTAAAGGAATGTTGGAATGGGAACCTGTTCTATGTTTTCTCGAGTTGGTGGAATTATTGCTCCTTTTGTCCCATCTCTGGTATGATTGAACTATTTTCTACTCCCTTCATGCTCATTATACCTCCAAGTGGGATTAGCAAAAATGTGTAGATTTATTTAAATTGTTTCTTTGCAACAGAAACGGTGCTGCTATGATATTGTTTTTTAGAGGCAGATTTTGTGATAAGGGCTGCATCCACACAATCAGCTTGTCCTGCCTCAGAGAGGTAACCCCACTTGCTTAGAACATGCCCTCTAAATGGACTTTCATTGCCAGCCCACTGCTGAGACAGTTAAAGACAATTCAAGGTGATATTGCAGGAAAGTGGCGTTTTCCATGGGAAAATGGAAGACAACCTACATTGTCTATCGGAGGCTTTGGTCTACTGGAACTTTTGGACTACAATTTGCCCATTGCAAGTCTGCCTCCTATCATCTGATTGCTGGTCTCTGTTTTCATTGGATTAGTACTGCGGAGTTTCAGAAAGAAACTCCCTTCCACAGAGTTTGGAAATAGCGTTTCTTTCTTTATTCTTCTGACCCAGGAGGGAGCCAGTAATTAGAATATGAAAGCAACATCTAATGAAGCAGTAGGTTGCAGTATTATCCTTCAGGACAAAGGTCTTGCCTTTTCTCACAGAGGGATCAACATGGTTATTTCCAGTGCATTCATTTTTCAGGGTAACTTGTCTGACACATTAAGATGCTCTAAGCTCTGATTGCTTGAATGATGGAAGTGAAGAACATTCTTAGCCATTCTTGGTGTGATTGCTGCATCAATGTGGACATAGAGGATCTGGTTATAAACACAGGTTGTAACTGGGACATTCTTGCACAATGGGTCGGCACTCCCTTGAGTTGGAATCACTTAGCCCTTCACCACAATTCCCCTTGTGTTCTCCTGCTAATGAATAGGAAAGGCTATTCATTATGCTGCACCATCTACTTTATTCCAGCGAAAATACTTTCTGGAGTATTTACTCAAATAGAAAGTAGCAAACTTCCTATCTTCTTTTAGTGGTCTAAACACATATCTGGGTAAATGATAGGGGTAAATTCTCTGTCAGAATGAAAGCACTGATTTTATTAAAAAGTCAAGCTTTTTATTATGTTTATCCCCATTACCAAAACAGATGGGATCTGAAAAAGAAGACAGCTGTGACTTCTACAGTTTATCTCAGCTGATGCTTTTCCAGTCAGAAATACACACAGAGAGAGACAACCACGATAGAATAAAATAAGGATGGGAAGGTTACCAAAGGACTTAGATCATTTCCTAGAGTCAAAATGCTAATTTCAATCTAGTTTTCATCAGCCACTATATGTTTCCATTTCTTCTCTGTCTAGTATAGCTTTGTATATTTATCTGTGCTTGCATAATTTTCACAGAATCACAGGGCTAGACGGAACCTTAGAAATCTTTTAGTCCAACCCCCTGCCCAAGGCAGTTGACCTTATCATCCTGGACAAATAGTTGTCCAATCTTTTGTTGAAAAACTCCAGTGATCGAATACCCACAACTCCAGGAGGCAAGCTGTTCCACTGGTTAATTGTTCTCACTATCAGGAAGATTCTCCTGATAGTTTAGATCTCTCTTTAATGAGCTTCCATGCATTACTTCTTGTCCTGCCATCAGGTATTTTGGAGAATAAGTTGACCCCTTCTTTTCTGTGACCGCCCCTCTAGTACAGGAAGATCTGTACTATCATGTCTATCATGTCACCCTTCTCTTCATTAGAGATACCTAGTTCCCTTAACCATTCATCATATGGTCTAGCCTCCAGACCCCTTATAATATCTGTTCCTCTTTTCTGCATTCTTTCTTAGGGTCTCAGCATTGTTTAAGGATTACCTAGATCCCTCTCACAGGTACTATTGTTGAGCCAAGTACTCCCTATTCTGTATGTGTGTATCTGGTTTTTCTTGCCTAAGTGCAAGACCTTACTTTTCTCACTATTGAACTGCATCTTGTTGCATCTTCTAAAGTGTTGGCAGTTCCCCCCCACCTTGGTGTCATCTGCAAATTTGATAAGTGCCCCTTCTACGCCCTTATCTAGATCATTTATGAAAATGTTGAAGAACACTGGGCCTAAGACAGAACTTTGAGGCACCTCACTGCATGCTTCCTCCATGTAGTTATAGTTCCTTTGAGGACTTGTCTTCAGACAGCTTGCCTTCAGACGTTGTGGGTGCTTCATCACTCGAGGTTTTTAAGAAGAGTCACTTTATCAAAAAAAGGCAGTAAGGTTTGCTTGGCATGATATCTTTTTAACAAACCCATGCTTCTAGTGATCGTCTTGTTCGTTTTGTAGGTGCTCACAAATCTGTTGCTTATCTCTTTCAGGATTTTTCCAGGTATTGATGTCAAGCTGATTGGTCTTATCATTTCCTAGATTCACTTTTCCCCCCCTTCTTGAAGATTGGAATCAGTTTCAGCTCTTTTCCAGGCTTGTTAGTTCCACAGTGCTCTGGGATCTTTGAAAGATTTGGTTCAGTGGTTCCAAGATCCCACCTGCCAGCTCCTTCAGAACTCTGGGATATAAACCATCTGGTCCTGGTGATTTGGACTTCTTTAGAGTAGATAGGTGTTCTCTTCCAATTTCTTACCTATTTTGACCTGCATTCCTGTTCTGACTCTGACTCTGACTCTGTTGTTGTTGATAGATTGGGCTGTTTTTCCATAAAAGTAAAGAAGGAATTAAGCAATTGTGCTTTTTCCTTGCTGCCCATTACCTTTTTGCCATCTTCTCCCATTAGTGGACTGATCATTTCTTAATTTTCTTTTAGTTCCTTGCATACTAAAATTATTGAATATAATATATATTGAATAAACATACATATTGAAAATACATACTTTTGGATCAGTTAAGGTGTACTGAATTTACACAGTTTGGAGCATCTAAAAATTATTTAATTGTGCCAAAGTATAATTGCCACCCCAAATAATCCCTTTTTTTAACAGAAAGTTATATATTGGTGTCTGCCATACATTGTGTTTGGAGTGGCAAGTGTATTATCTGGTCTTCTGAGTCTCTTACTGCCAGAAACCCTAAATAGCCCACTGTTGGAGACATTATCTGATATACCGGTTTGCTCATATCGAAGGCTTGAGGGTGAAGCCATGTCACTGAAGATCTTAGAAGATTCACAGGTATTTTATTTTATATTAACAACTATCAAGTTGGTTAGGAAAACTTTTCTAAATTAATGTCATGTTAGCTTGTCATGATGGGTTTCAAGAAATAAAAACAAGGAGTTATAGACTACTTCTAAAAAATGTTCATTGACATATGATAGGGCAAGATTGAAGAAAAAGGAGAAAAGGGGAGGAAGGTGGATAAGGTAGGTGAACCAGATCACCAAATTCACTAAAATGGCCTGGAAAGAGCTTTGGATAAGTAAGGTTTGGGCCTTAACTTGATTACCCTTGGGAACCAAATTGGTAAATGAATCTAATCTGTTTTCAACCCTTTCTTCTTTAGGACAATTTTAATTAGAAAGCAACAATTTAATGAACCAGTTGGGGGAATAGTATCTGCTATTCCCAAGTACCTATTAAATTTCAGATAATGCCATTCAAGGCAGTAGTATACATAATTATACATATAAAATATATAACACAAATGATTAACATAGAATTTAATTGCAAATTTTAACTGCCTCCACCAAACTACTTTTACATGGAACTGACTTGTGTGTTATTTCAGTTTAGTCTCTTGCATTTAAAATCTGTTAAATATTGATTCATTAAATTGAGGTTTTATTGTATGTATTTACATTTCCACAGGCAAATATAGGAAAACTTTCTTAATATTCAGAAAAGCTTCCCATTCATCAGAAAGATGAGCCTCTTTGATTACATTTCAAGAGTTGGACATAATCATTTTCTAAATCTATTTATAATTGTGTCAACTGATGGCATTTTCCAATCTCTGTTTTACATAATTGCTTTTTTCCTCTTAGAAATGTCGTGAACATTCTTCTTTAACTCCCCCACCCCACCCCCCAGCTAAATTCACATAAAGAAATACATAAGAAGATCCCCAATAGTGTTATTATTTAAATCATTTTACGATACATAGTTCTTTGGTCAAAGAAATAATATCTTAGTTAGTAGTTATTATTATTATTATTATTATTTTTTAATAATAACCCTATCTTCTGACTGACAATTGAAAATACATGAAACAGAACAACAAAAATAGAACTACTGTCTTGTACAGTGTTGAAAACTGAATGATCCAAGTTCTATTACTTAGCATGGAAATTTCTAGTTGATTTTCAGTCAATCCCCAAATTCATTCATTGTGCTAAACCATGTTTTGAGTGGCTTCTGAATAAGCCACAGTTGGTAGGTTTCATATAGCATACTAATTGGGTTGAAGTTGAAATATTGTTGAATTACATCTCCCAATATCCAGTATTTTTGGTTATGTTAGCTAGGGAACTATTGTTCTTCTATATCTCAAAGCCATAGTTTCCATCTTCTGGCATAAACTATAAAATGTGATTTACACTCTATAGAGGTTGCTTCATACGGTGTTTTAAATCACAGTCAAACAGGCATAATTAGTGTCTATGATGAGAATTGTGAAGATGGAAGAAGGCATCACAACAGAATCTATTCTATTAGCCTTGGTCTTGCAACTTCCTGCTGGCTGCCCACTCATTTTCATGCTGGAAATGGGGAAGCTGGCAGGCATTTGAGGGGGAGGGGAGGAAGGAAGGAAGGAAGGAAGGAAGGAAGGAAGGAAGGAAGGAAGGAAGGAAGATTTCTGATGCTCCCTGCCAGCTTCCCACAAGGAAACTGAATGGGGAAGTCTGCAGGAAGTTGAAAGTCATGCCTCTCCCATTACTTTTTTGCCTGCTCCTGGTGATTTTGTTTTTCTGTCTAGGTAAGGAAATACAGTATCTCTGAAACTATGACTCACTGGGGCACAGATTGTATTTTGTTGTTCATTCGCTAAGTCATGTCTGACTCTTCGCAACCCAATGGACCACAGCATGCCAGATCCCCCTCCCCCGCCATCCTCCACTGTATCCCTGAGTCTGCCCAAACTCATGCCCACTGGGTCAATGAGACTATCTACTCATCTCATTCTCTGCCGTACTCTCCTCCTTTTGCCTTCAATCTTTCCTAACATCAACAGGTGTTTTCCTGTGAGTCCTCTCTTCTCAATTGGTGGCCAAAGCATTTGAGCTTCCGCTTCAATATCTGTCTTTCCAAGGAACAATCAAGATTGATTTCCTTTAGGATTGGCTGATTTGATCTTCTTGCAGTCCAAGGGACTCTCAAGAGTCTTCTCCAACACAATTTGGAAGCATTAATTCTTTGGCACTCGGCTTTCTTTATGAGTAATAAAATTAAAAAATACACATTTATTGGAATACACCAGTATAATTTCCACTAGTAGTTACTGTATTTTCATATATGCTATTTCAATACTTTTTAAATCCTTAAAATCTTTGTAAATTATTCTTAATATGTCCATTGCATTTGGAATGCTAAAAACAATAAGAGAAGGTAAACCTGCTAAAGACTTCTGTCTTCCATCCATCCATTGGTAAAATGTTATTGCAGTCTCAAGATCGATCCTATTAAATATTTTAACCAAAGCATGCTGAAGAAATATTCCTGTGATCAAACTCTTACTTTTGTTTTAGTCTGATCAAGATTCATCCAGGACTGAAAGTGACAATGAAGAATTCTATGATGCCAGTGAAGAGACTCAGATGATCAAGTGAGGGATCCCTGTCTAATATTATGCCCTCTTTACGGAGAAAAAGCTGGGTAAATCTTACTTAAATGCCAGGTGCAATTGTGACAGTAGCAATATGATACTGTGCTTTTAAAAAAAAAATATGATTCAGTTATCATATTGTAATAGAAGACTACGGCCACCAGGAGGCTCCCTTGACACATGGAGCTGACTGATTTAGGACAGTAAGAAATATGCAAGTGAACTCTTAGTTTTAAATGACAATCATCTGTTATGTAGCCAAATCTTCAGCATATATTAGAATTTTCTTTGCACTTTGTTTTTGTTAAGTGAATTTCATGTTTGTTGCACTTTGGTTTTATTTTACTGTACTGAAAATGTGACCATGGAAAGCTATTATTAGCTATTGAATAGAAAAAAATGGTTTCAGATATTGCAAGATGTTACATTTATACTGTGAAATCTAATGCTGTATATAATATAGAATTGGTAAATGTTCAGGTTTTATAGTGTGTGATAATGTTGCAAAGAAGAGAAGTTCGTAAATTGAAATGATTGATGTTAAAAGGGAACCAAACATGATCTATGACATTTTTCAGATATACTTTTAATTATTGCCAAAGATCCTCCTTGATTTCTTTCAACCTATTGTATTTCCACATCTGGCACTTTTGTATTTGTGTAATATCAGGGGACTATAGAAATCTTTATGAGAATATAGTGGAATATATCCTTGAAATCAATGATTTATGTAGAAACTTTATCTACCTCAGTTTACATACTTTATGAAATATACTTGATGGTACCATTAACTTCATAAATGGGCTGAGTAATATAGTGTATTCCTTTGGGGAGGCTGAATAAGGATGAAGGTGAAATAATGACCACACTTGAGTAGGGCCTATGATAGTAACAGAGAACCTTTTAGGGACCGAGTGCCCAAACTGCAACCCAAAACCCACTTATGTATTGTCGGGTGCTGGGTGGTCGTAGCTCATTGGGTGGGTGTGGCCAATTGGGTGGGCAGGGCTGCGGTGGTAACGGCAGACTGGGTGGGACTAAAAAGTTCAATCAGTCAATTCCAACTTTGCGAGAGAAGTTGAAATTGATTGATTGAACCTTTTTTTTTTTTGCACACGGCGACAGAGGCCCAAAATAGCGGTTCTCAACCTGTGGGTCGCGACCCCTTTGGGGGTCGAACAACCCTTTCACAGGGGTCGCCTAAGACCATTGGAAATATATCCGTCTCCAGGCGGATAAAAACAACACAGAGAATGATAAGTCTTAAAGCATCAAAGGAGCAACTCCCCACCTCTCAGGTAGAGCTAGCAAGAGCGAACGACTCAGCCCGCCTTCTCCCAGCCTTTTCACCAATCAGAAGCTGCGGCCCGGACATTTGCGTCCGTGACGTATCTTCCCGGGGAATCTGTGAAGCCTGCAGAGCTGCTCCAAATCGAACTTGCATGCAGTCGCTCGCGCCTCCGTGGAGGAGGGGAGATGGGCTGGCGGGGAGTTGAGGGGGGGTGAGGCAGGAGGAGGAGGAGGAAGGAGGGAGGGAGGGAAGGAAGGGTTGTTAGCTGTGGAATCAGCACGCCGGAGGGCTTTGCCGTGGGGGTGGGTTCCTTTTGTATTTTGAGTCCCTCCCTTTTGGAGGGAGGAATGGACATTTTATGATCTGGGGGGAAAAAATCTGGTGTCTGTGAATAAAAGCTTGCCATGATGCATTCAGTGCAATTGCTTTTTAAAATAGCACTTTTGGATTGTATTTTTTTTTTAAATCTTAGCTTTAAAAAAAACTGGAAAGTGCATTCTTAGAGCAAGGCGCAGACTTGGTACCTCTCTCTCTCCCCCGTGCGCCCCCAAATCCCCGGGTATTTTTATTTTTATTTTTGGTTGGCAAAATTGGATCCGCAGCTGCTAAAAATGAATAGTGGCTTGCGAGGGAGGGGAGCTGTTGTGGGCAGCAGAAGACAGGCTGGTGCATCCGAGGTGTTGTTCACTCGCTCGCCTCCTTTCTGTTGACCCCCCCCCATCTAGATCGGAGTTGCTGCTTTGCGCGGGCATGAGCCAGGATGGCCATTCGTGGGGTTGGTCTCTGCCCTTATGTGGGGGGCTTGCAAGCACCTTAATTGAGTCTCCCCACCTCCATCCGTGGGATTTTCCTCGCGGTTGCTAGGAGCTGCGCTTAAACTTGGAATCGCCCAGCTGCAAGCGAAGAGAAGGGAGTTGGCGCGGGCGAGAAAGCCAGCAAGCCAGCCCAAATTGCGAGCTTCCCTTCGCCTTTTTTGCCGTGAATCGGGAGCAAGCCAACCTCAGGATTTTCCCCCCTCCTGCCTTTAAACGGCTTCCTTTTATTCTGCCTCCCGCCTGATCGGGATCCAAAGCCGAGACTCCAATTGGGGAAGTGTATACTCCACTGCCAGAAATTTTTAGGAAAAAGGAAATGCATTGAGAGAGGGACTTGTCAGAAAACATTTAGCTGAGAATCAAGTACGCTCAGTGGAAGGTGAAAAT